AACACAATGCCATAAAGCAGTAGGCATTCGAAAGTTTCAATCACTTCTATCAATTCATGTACTGGAGAAGGGCGTAATGTACTCTATCTCCAGAAATCCTGTACTGGTACTGTACGGATATGCCATCACGTAGGGTTATAGAAGTTACAGTCAATATTTATACGCTATCCTTGTGTCTGGAAGAACAAAATCCTGCCCAACAATTCTTGTCTTACTAGTAAATTCTTTCCAGATTTGACCTTGCAAGTTTCCAAAGTTGGAAATAAAGAGTCCTTATTGTCTGCAAGCTAATCTATTCATTTAGACAAATTAACATATGTGCCTGGATTCTTTCTTAGACACACTCTGAATCCCATTACAGGGAATGCAAAGATAGCTTCACTTCCCAAATTCATCAACATGGTCCTAGGAAAGCTGAGGTCAGCCTGGTCCTGAGGCTATGGGCTGTGTGTGACTTTTCTCTAGAGTGGACAGAGCTCAAACCCATGGGTGAGTGAGAATTGATCTGAGCTCATGTTGACCACTCATGGCCTAAACCAATAAGACTAAACTTGACCTTCCCAACTAATAATCAGTAGATTAAGCCCAAAGAGTCAAAAACTGGGCAGTCATTATAACAGAATGAGAAACAAGACTAGGAGAGATACACCACAGAGAAAGGAATTCTGCTCCTTCTTTCCTTCTTTCCTCCCTTGCTTTGCTTCTAAGTTTCTGCATATTTGACCTATTTCTCAGGTCACAATTCTTAATTACATATACTCTATTTAGATACAGAAACTGTTTCAAAATGATCCAACTCCAAAATATTTTTTCTTTTCTTTTCTTTCCTTTTTTTCTTTCTTTTCCTTTTTTTGCAAGTCCTGTGGCTTAAACTCAGGGTGCAGGCATTGTCCCTAAGCCTCTTTTGCTCAAGGCTAGCACTCTACCACTTGAGCCACAGAGCTACTTCTGTTTATGTGGTACTGAGGAACTGAACCCAGGGCTTCCTGCATGCAGGCTAGGCAAGTACTCTACCACTAAGCCACATTTCCAGCTCCCAAAATTTTTTTCTTCTCCCTGCACTTGACTCCGATTTCCACTGTAATGAATGAAACCACTGTTCATCTAACAGCAGTCAAAGGGGCAGTGGATGGGGAAACACTGACTTTTTCCCCACTTGTCTTTAAGTATAACTCTGTTCCTTAGCTGATGTGTTGTTTGTTTCCCAGAATGCAACAAGCATATGTTTTTGTATCCAAGGATGTTTCCTAACTTACATCACATACGTTTTTTTCTGATAATCAGAAGGAAATCCAGCATAACTCCGAGGGTCAGATTTAGGTCTGGTTTTGGTAAGACTTTGCATATTTTTCTATATTGTTGATATTTCAGTAGGAAGCAAGAAGAAATTACTTGGTCTAACTGAGGCAAATGTCATGGATAACACTGGAGGGATAGAGTTGGATTTATTGGCTTACTGTGCGCTAATCTGGTTAAAGATGTATTGTAGAAAGGATGGGGAATGGTCATCAAGAGTTAAATACAAAATGGATAATTCAGTGACCACTAGACATTGGTCAGCTCTCTCCTGTCTGTGGAAGTATTAATGGAATTTAGATCAGAAAGGGTAAGACAAAGGTAGCCAACATTTTCTTTCACCGTGCCCAAAATATGAGGGTTTCATATTATAGTGTATCTACACATAAAACAGTGATTGCCCCAAGACTGCAAAAAGACTTCTATTTTTGAAAATTTTGTAAGGATTAAAATATATTCATGACAAAAATATATGAGATCTATTGGGTTTTCTGTGTATAAATTTTTACTATTTTGCACCAATCTGCTAGCTGAGAAGGAAAATCCAATTTGCATGGCTCCTGTCAGTCACATGTGGTTTGGAAATACTTATGCATTCCAGATCGACTCTGTAAACTGGAGAATCATATCCTATTTCCACTGGTTTGCATGCATGCATATAAAACTTGTTTTCCCACAGTGCCACATGAAAACAAGTGAAGAACTAGCAGTAGTGCTCACAATTAATCAACTTCTTGGTTGAAATTTCACAACTGTGATCTGATCGTGAGGAGAATTCTTTTCCCTTACAGCAAGAGAGGCTAAGACTTCTACTTCATTGGTTTTCTTGTTCAGTTCTGTTCCACATTAAAAGATAAAGTCAACATCTGCCCTTCTACACATAGTTTCTGTTATCTAACCATGTGCCAGGCCCCTTGCTTAGCACTAGGGGATACAGAGAAGAACTCCCCACTCCACAAAGGGAGCTTGGAGTTTGATAAATGCACAACAAGTAAATGAATAATTATTACTCAGCAGGTTAGCCACTTTGTACAGTTTGGATTGTGTATTACGTCCTACAGCAACAGTAAAAGAGTTTGCCAGAACTTCACAGAAGGTGGTTCCTGACAGATGAGGAGGAGTTTAGTGAAAGAGGACTGGACACATTCAGAAAGCTAAGAACATTATGTACATAATTCATGAAGGACACAGGCTACAGGGAACAGAAAGAAATTCTGTATGGTTTAAGGCTAGATGTAGAGTCAGTACAAACGCTAATTGGAAAAGACATCAGGAAGAGGCTATAATTCTCATAAGCAGTGGGATTTTGACTTTCTCATTCTGCATTCTCATGTTAATGATGGGGGTATTTTCTCACTAAGCAGATCCAGTTGTCACAATGTCCAGTATCCAGATGTAATCCCTTCCCTTTTCTCTTTTCCTGGCTCTTAGCACAGTATCAGCATCTAGCTAGTGCTCAATTCAAGAAAACAACATTTCTGCAGTTGGTGGATAGTTTCTAAGGAAACCCAGTGGATTGTGTCCTTATGAAAAATGCTTCCACTGAGAATAGGCTGGATTTGTTTATTACCTGATGAGGAGGAGGAGGAGGAGGAGTTGTATATCCTTAGATAGTTGTAGTTAGTTATACAAGGGATTTCAATTCAATATGCTAATTTGCATGGACAATTCAAATTGCATGGACAATTCAACACATATATATATACATATATACACATCTATATGTATAAAATATATACATATATGTATATATGTGTACATATGTATATATATTATACATATAGATGTATATATATTATACATATAGATGTATATATATATATACTGTGTGTTTCTGCTCATTTTAGATAAAGATCAATAGATCACACACACATACATATCACATTTTCTTGATCCATTTTGGATGGTTTCTATAACTTGGACATGATGAATTGTTCAGCAATGATAGCAATGAACATAGGTGTGCAGATGCCCTATTGTATCCTGACATGAAATCTTTTGGATAAACACCCAAGAGTGATATCAATGAAGCATGTGGTATGAGAGGAATATGCCAAAAATAGTAAGTTACTTTTCCTATAAACATTACATTATGAAAAGATTTTGGTTTCCCTCTTGGGAAGTCTACAATATCTTCACAATTTCAGGTTCCCATTTGCCCTTGGATCATTAGCTATCACATCTAAGATGTTTGAATACCTTATAGAGAGGCCCACATGGCAAGGAACTGAGATACACCTATGTGAGCATGCTCACTACCAACACATCTGAGGGTGAACCTGGATGTGGACCTTCTGACATACCACCAGCCACACAGGTAAGCTTAAGAGGAAGTTCTCCAACCCCTCTTGAGTGTGATTGAAAGTTCAGAAGAGATCCGGAGTCTAAGTCACTCAACCAAGGTGCGTCTAGATGCATCAGGTGAACACAGGAACTTTGAGGTAACATTTGTTGTGTTAAATCACTAAATTTGGTATCATTTTCTTTGTAGCAAGAGATATGAGTATGCTCTAATAGCACTATCTCCATCTCCCTCTCAGAGATGGGTTTCTGGTGTATTTTCTTGTATAAATAAGCTTTTGTGATCACATTCCTGACCACTTGTAATAAGCCAGTGGTCTTATTGCCCTCCCAGAAATAATAAACCTGTTACTTTGGTTCCATTTACTTGATTAAACCCTAGAATGATTCTACTTGAACCTCAGCATGCACGGTTGAGTTCAAACTGTTCCCTGTCTCCAATCTTGGACACACCAACCTTCTAGCTAGACAAGGGACCTTTATCTGCCTAGACAATCGCAATCACAAATGTCAACAGAAAGATGCATGTAGTTGAAATATTCTCTATTTCCATATGTAATCTTCAATGGACACATGACATGACTTGACAAATAATTGTTAAATTTGCTCTATACACTGTCCAGGTGGGAACAAGTGGAAAAATGTACATTGCTCAGGGAACATTGAGTTTTTGGCAGAGGATTTTTGGCAGTTTATATAACAATGTTGATTTGAAGTCAGTGGTTTTATGTAAAAAAGATGTTAAGACCTTGTAGGATGTTAAATATTTACATAAAATTATGCACAGCTAAGAAAAGAAGGGAAACATAAAATACAAAATGATGCTTCTACAAGTTATTGTTTGCTTGCTTCCTACGATATTTTGTTGTTGTTATTGATTGTGGGGCTTGAACTCAGGGCCTGGGCACTGTCCTTGAGCCTCTTTGTGCTCAAGGGTAGCATTCTACCAATTAAGCCACAGCACCACTTCCAGTTTTTGAGTGGTTAATTGGAGATAAGAGGTTTGGGGGGATGTTTCTGCCCTAAGACTTTTTATTTTTTGGTCGGTTGTGGGGCTTGAACCATGGGCCTGGGCGCTGTCCCTCAGCTCTTCAGCTGAGATAGGCCACAGCTCTACCACTTGAGCCACAGTGCCACTTCAGGTTTTCTGGTGGTAAATTGGAGATAAGAGTCTTCATGGATTTTCCTGCTGGCTTTGAATCACAATCCTCAGATCTCAGCCTCCTGAGTAGCTAGTATTACAGGTATGAGCCACCAGTGCCCAGCCCTGAATTTTTAATAGCTTCTGTGTCCATATTTTCATAATTACGCAGCCACTGATTATACATATTACATACCTAAGAAGTATCAGGGTATCATAGCTACAAGAAAAAGAGAGGTAAGGAAGAGAGGAGACTTTGTACCTCTGTTCCAGATGATCTTGCTCTGAAATGCAGTCAATGGGAGCTGAAGGACTGACACCCTCTACTGTCCTCAGAGCCACTGCTGAGATGCCCACCAATGGGGATGAGAAATTTAGCAACATGGAGGTGGTTTGGTTGAAGAGGGTATTTGCATGATGGGTCACATTAATAACCAGTGGATTGTGCTCGCACGACAGTTCATGGGTTCCTGGAGAGGCATAAGGACATGAATAATATTTTAGAGGCATTCATCTAGAAGCATGCTTCCATGTCTAGTGTTCATTTTATCTACTCAATAGCTGTGTGATGCAGGTACCGCTCCAAACAATATCAGAGATAGACTAGTGGCTCTGAAGATAGAATTCTCATACTCACCAAGAGAGTGGTTTCCTCCATTGACATCAATCAGGTAAAGGGTCACAGTTGGTCGCTGATGCTCCCCAGGGGCCAGGCCATCAGATGCCAAGAAAATAAAAACTGCTGTGGCAAGTCCTGGCCTATTGAAACACACCTAAGCACAAGCACATGCATGGAAGAATCATTATGTCATAGGCAATTAAGATATATGCTATCCCAGGCCTATCCTTCCAGATAGCTTTCTATTCATAAAGTATGGTTCCTTTTCCTTCCTTCCTTCCTTCCTTCCTTCCTTCCTTCCTTCCTTCCTTTCTTTCTTTCTTTCTGTGTGTGCACAAGTACTAGAGCTTGAACTCAGGGACTCATGACCTTGCTTGGCTTTTTGATTAAAGGCCTCAAGGCTACTGCTTTACCACCTGAGTCATAACTCTATTTCAAGCTTTTTGGTGGTTAATTGGAGAAAGGAGTGTCATGGACTTCACTTCCTGGGCTGGCTACAAACCTCAATCCTCAGGCTCTGTCTTCTACACAGCTAAGATTTGGGATTACAGGAGTGAGTTTACCAGTGCCTGGCTTCCTTTTCCTTTACAAATGGAATATATGAATATGTATATATTCTATCTTATATACAATTACATAATATAGTTTTATATTCTTTATTATATATATATACAATTACACACACACACACACACACACAGAGTGGCATAGAAAAGTATCCAAAGTAGCATCAAACACTGAGATGGGATGGGAAGAAGATAATTTTCAGCTACTGTGGTTCTATCTTTTTTTGAAACTTGCTTACCACAACTGTTTATTTTAGTTGGACTTGTCATTCTTTAAACTTCTCAAAATAATCATTCGGAAAGAACATTGCTGGAGACAATAAGCCACCACTGAGCTCGTCAATACCCCGTTTCCACTCAAGTGAGAGCAGTGAACAAAATGATCGCCCAGCCAACATCTAAGTTAACAAGCCAAGTTGTGAACAGCCTCAACTTCTGAACTGTTAAACCTAGTTTTCCTTCTCCATCTCTCTACATAACTCCTCTAGGCCCCCATTTTTCTCAGTGTCTCATTTAACATGCGAATTACGACATAGGAGAAAGACTATTGCAGAATCCTCTGGTTCTGGGATTAAAACCTTGACAAACTGCTTATTCCTTCCTGTTTGCCTGGTGTCCCAGGCTTCCCCTATGCCTGACTGGTAAAGAAATCAACACAGAGACAGAAAAATTCAGTTGTTTATAAGAAGTATTCTATGTGGTTAGGCTGATTAATACTATACCAAAGTTTCAATGTAAACTATGAAAACTTTGTCATGGAAATTCATCAATAGAAAATGAAACTTATGAGACTCATGTATAAAGTAAAGCTTTTATTCTACAAGCCAAGTTTAAGGATCCAGACCTTATTTTCCATGCTATATCTATTTGATGGAGTATTTCTGATTGTTGAATATTACTCCTAATTTCTGTTGAAAATAACTCCAACTTTTCCTACATAGGTGCTGTATTCTTAGAAACTCTATGTCTATTTCTCTGGCTTTTTCTCAGGTTCTAAGGGTGATGTGGCTCAATGAAATCTGTTCTGGGTGTAAAAGCAGGGTCTGACTTCTAATGGCAGGGACGACCTTGCAAGTGGGCAGCAGGAGAGTAAAACATGTTTTCTACTTTAACAAGCATTCTTTTTTATCCACAGACTGGTGTTTCCTGAGTCTTGGCAGTGTGTTTATAGTGTCCATTACACTGCTAGCTTAATTAGGGTGATTTTATGATTTCGGTGGTCAAAGCAACACAGCTTTCTCTTCTTCCTCCCTCCTTTGAGGGAAAAACCAGCCACACACAAGGTATCTTCACCCTGTCCCTTCCATTTCTCCTCTTTGAAGTAATAAATATCCCTCTAAAACTTAAGAGACTTCCAGACCCATAGATTATGGCATCAATATGAAGTTCTCTGTGTCTGGCTGGGTCAGGACTGAGCATGGAATGAATACTCGGGAAACCAAGAGCCCAGCTGTGGACCCCAGCAGCAAATGACATCAAAGCCCCCAGGGAACTCTCATAACTTCTTCCTTTCCATATACCACAAAAGAGACCTGAGCACTAGAAGAAATTCTGGATCATTTCTTGAGACAGGGACACACAACTTCCAAACAAGTACCTGGTGTCTTTACCTCAGTATGTCTCAGACCTAAAGAGCAGGGCAAATTCATGTCTAATGGGAGAACTCAATCTTTCCCACATTCTGTTGGGTTCAAAAATAGATACCACTCACTCCAAACTAGTTAGTAAAAGTGTGCTGAGAGCCCAAACCTTTCAAGTCATTCTGTATCTCCTGGTAATATTCTCCTTTGTTCTTTGCCTCTGAGTACCAAATCACCTTGCTATCTTCAATGGTTGTTTCTCTGGGCCATGATTTGTGGGGAGATATTTTATAAAGCAAAGCTTCAGTAAGAATATAGGGGCAGAAGAATGTTTGCTACACAACACAAAGACACACATGCATTGGATCAAGTAAATGGGAGGCTGAGTCTTGAACATCTCATCCAGGACTGATTCCTAAGATTATGACATACATTAACACTAGGAAAAACTGGGATTTATTTTCAACAGACACTAGGAATGATATGAAGCTATCAGGAACAAAGCCAAAGTAGAATTACTACATCCAACAAGCCCAGTGGGATGAGTCTAGTTTCATTCTCAGTTGAACCCAAGCACATCCCATAATAACGATGGTATGAGAAGATGTAAATTCTCTCCCACAACTACTGGCAACTGAAACTGAGGTCTGTTGAAATCTCCCCATATATACATTATATATATTAGGTACCCAAACAGGGGTTAAAGGAACTGCTCTGAGTTTAATTCTTAAATGAATATATCTTAGCTAGATAAAGCTGAGAAATCCTTTCTCCGGTTAGAGCTTGAGGATCTTCTCAACAATGAGAAATAGAGAAACTAATGGTTAGTAAAATTAGAAGTTTATTTCTTCTGAAAGAGTTTTAAATATTGAAGTAACAATTATATATTTAGAATATATTTAATGTGTTCATAATATATTATATGCAATATATTACATAGTTAAATAATCACATATTATATATTATATGTAATATAATATACAATTATTATATGTAATATATTATATTGTAATATTATATATCATATATTATATGATATATAATATATGCTGAATGGTATATACAATATATAACATATATATTTATATATAAATGGCCCAAACTATTTTTGCTATATATGGGAGAATGAATTTCATGTTCTTATATGTGAAAGCAATTAAGTAGCTTGGTCAGAAAATTTGGCAACTGGAATCTCTTCTACTTTACATCTTTGTCACCCTGGTCTCTCAAGCATGACCCATGAAGTGCAATAGTTATAGGATTCCTATTTAGGACAGAGATCACCAAAACATCCCAGGGTCTACTTAGACCTGAGATTTGCACCAAACACTTCATGAGAAAAATCCTAATGAATAGAAAATCAGAAAGACCATTTGATTTATGTGTAACATTTTCTTATTTGTTTTAGCAAAAATACACTATAAAACTATTTTGAACATGTCTACAAAGCAAAGAAACTATGATTAGATTTCAAAAAAGAGGCAAGAACTTTCAAAAAATCAAATGAGCCTGAAGTCTAAGGAATGGTTCCAAGACAGAGTGATTGTCAGTAAAAGAAAGAGAATCTATCACAAAGTAATTTGAAACACAGAAAAAAAAACCCATAAAGGAGTAATATCATAGGGAGATAGACAAATTGATATGGTAGAGACAGATGATTGATCTTTAACAATTGATAGAGATCTGGAGAAATGTGTGACAGAGGTAGTTAGATGTTGATAATAAAGTTAAGCAGAGATGATATTGATGCTAGGTAGCCAGATAGGAATGTAGATAGATGGCAGATAGACAGGCAGGCAGGCAGGCAGGCAGGCAGGCAGACTGACAAACAGACAGACAGATAGATATGGACAGAGATTTGGGAAGAATCAGCTATTCACGCACTTGCTTTTTCATTCGAAGACTACACCTTAAAACCCAGCTTAACTACTGGCCACTAGTGAAGTTTAAGAATAAAAAAAAGTCTCTCTAGGCAAGAACTGTTTAGGCTTAAGAAATCCCTCTCCAGCTTGCCTGCTGGGCACTGACATACTCAATATGTACCCAACCCAAGCATTTCAACTTCCAGGTCATCCTTTGTGGTGGTCACTGGATAACAGGCCCTGACACTATACCACAAACTTGAAAAGAATCTTCTCTGAGGTTTTAAAATGTGTTTGCTTAGTTCTTGGGTTGTTGTTTTTCTGTGCCTTTCCACTGTTGCTCACTTATGGCACTTCCTGATTCCAGAGGGTAAAGGGAGGCCTTGGACAAGAGAAGGCAGATACTACATTCTGTTTGCACTGGGGGATTTCATGCTTTGTGGGAGCTTCCTCCAGCAAGCGCAGTGGATTTCGATTCCTACGGGAGATTTTTGAATTTTACTGTCTTCGGGATACCTAGATTTTGTTATATAGGATTCTGAACAAGGATTCTAAAAGCGAAAATGAATGTCTCCTACGTAAATCCAAGAGAGAAAGCTAGATTTTCCCATTGTAATATTTCTCCTTATTTTTTTTGGATGGCACCAGTGTTTTTAATTTGAGGTGAGCAGGAAAGCAGATTCTTTAGAAAATTTGTTGATATTTGAGACGTCTTTCCTCTTCCTCCTCAAAAAGAAAAAAAAGTCATTTAAACACTTAGTCGTGAAAGTTTTGTGCAGTTTTAAAGAGCTTGAGAGATACTTTTAATAGCCACATGTAGTCCAATTAGAGTCATCAGGTATTAGAATAAAGATACTTGTGCTATTGGTTCAACCATGTACTTTATCTATAAATAAAAATAATCATAAGATTTGGGCAATTTTATATGTCACAGCCTACTAATATTGTTACTTTTGTAGATTTTAGAAATGTTCCCAAAGTAGAGATTGACTTCTGAAGTTCCAGAGGTTCTTACCTAAATTCCAAAGTTACTAGACAATGGAAGGGTAAGTGGCAATCAATCTTTGTGAAAGTTAGCTTGGTTATTTCCAGGTTTTAGGATATAAGTAAAAGCAGACCTGGGTTTCACGGCCTATTCAACTTCCT